AAAGATAGTTTAATAACATATAAAAAAGCCCTTTGTAGTGCCAGAACCACATATTATTCATCACTGATAGAGAAAAATAAGAGCTTAATATTAAGCTTATTAAGGGAAGCTAATATTCCCTTAGATCTCAGCAGCAAGGACTTCATGAGTTTTTTTTACAAATAAAATCAAATAATTTCCACAACTCTCACAAACGTGCCATCAACTATAGTGGCTTTAGAATCATCTATAAGACCTCATTTATACTTACTTAGACTGCTTCTCTCCCCTAGATCTCTCTAAGTTTACTTCAACAATTGCTTCTTAGACCCCATCCCGACAAGGCTGCACAAAGACGTCTTGCCCCTAATCAACATGTCCATTACATCTGATTAACCTTTCTCTATTAACAGCTTATGTTCCACAGGCTTTTAAGGTTGCTGTAATTAAACCTCTACTCAAAAAGCCTATTCTAGACCCAGGTGTTCTAGCTAATTATAGACCAATATCCAATCTCCAGTTTATTTCTAAAATCCTTGAAAAAGTTGTTGCAAAGCAGTTATGTGACCATTTGCACAAAAATTTTTTGTTTGAGGATTTTCAGTCAGGATTTAGAGTCCATCATAGTACAGAAATTGCATTGGCGAAAGTCACCAACGATCTCCTCCCAGCCTTAGACAAAAGACTAATCTCAAGTCAAAGTGTTTATTGTCATGTGGACAATAAGGAAACATGGTTCTCTGTACAAAGAAATTCTTACTTTGCTGTCCACAATGAATGTCAAACAATACAAAGTGAAATATAATGTAGTTAAACAGTAACACAATCTAAGGGCACTTTAAAATCAGCAAGTGAAAAGAAATATAATGCATCGGTCAGCAACAAATGTGCAATTATACATGTGCAAACTGAGAATGTAACATTAAGGTGGAAGCATCATGAAGTAATTCCTGATAATAAACTCCTGTCAGCTGTTTATGAGTCTGATGGCAGTTGGAAAGAAAGAGTTTTTCAGTCTAGAAGTCCTGCATTTCACACTTCTGTACCTCCAGCTTGAGGGTAAATGGTCTTATACTTATATAGCGCTTTTCTAGCCCACTCAAAGCGCTTTTACACTACTCGGCCATTCACCCATTCACACTCCCAAACACTCACACACCGGTGACATCACCGGAAGCAACTTGGGGTTCAGTGTCTTGCTCAAGGACACTTCGACATGTTGACTGGACAAGCTGGGAATCAAACTGCTAATCCTCCGGTTAGGAAACAACTGATCCATAACACTAGTGCTGCCATACCAGATGGTGATGCAGCTGGTCAAGATGCTCTAGACAATGCAGCTGTAGAAGTTGCAAAGGATCCTAGGCAACATGCCATACCTCCTCAGCCTCCTCAGAAAGTACAGCCACCGCTGGGCCTACTTGACCGGCTGTGTGGTGTTAAGTGTCCATGTGAGATCCTCACTGATGTGGACGCCCAGGTACTGTATTTAAAGCTGCTCACCCTCTCCACTTCAAGCTCCCGGATGAACATTTGCTGATGAGATCTCCTCTCTTTCCTCATGTCCACTATCATCTCATTCGTCTTGTCTGTGTCTAGGATGCAGTTATTGTCCTTGCACCATGACACCAGGCCGGCCACCTCCCTCCTGTAGGCTGCTTCGTCCCCTCCAGTGATGCATCCTATCACTGCGGTGTTGTCCGTGAACTTTAGGATCATGCTGTCTTTGTGGGAGGTGACACAGTCGTGGGTGAACAGGGTGTAGAGAATGGGACTGAGGACACATCCCTGTGGAGTGTCAATGTTTGTAGTAATGCTGGCTGAAGTCCTGTTGCCAATCCTGACAGACTGGGGCCTGCCAATCAGAAAGTCCAGGAGCCAGTCACAGAAGGCGGGGGGCCGACCCAGCAGTGTGTCCCAGTGTGTCCCAGTCCTCTAAGCAGCTTTAAACACGTCCCAGTCTGTCTGAGCAAAACAGTCCTGCAGGGTGCTCTGTCTTTGTGGTCCAGGGTTTAAATTGTTTAGTGACATGGTTTGTTTCTTTCAGTCTTTGTCTGTAGGCTGGGTACATGAACAACGAGAAAAGGTCTGAGTGTCTGAAGTAGGGGTGGGGTGCATCCTGTATGTTACAGTAAACATGATCCAGTGTGTTCTTATCACGGGTGGGAATGTCCACATGTTGGTAATATTTAGGGAATATAGTCTGTAGATTGCACTGGTTAAAGTCGCGATTAAAAACAGCATTAGGATGAGCCATCTCTAACGCGCTGATGATGTCGTGGAGTTTACTGAGTGCTGCTGTAGAATTATCTTGTGGCCCCACATACACTGCAGCCAAAAACACACTGCTAAATTCTCATGGTAGATAATACAGGAAGCAGCAATAAAAACTCCACATCTGGTGAACATTGCTTATAAACAGTCTGTATATTTCCACACCATGAGTTGTTGATAAACACACACTCCTCCCCCTTTGGCCTTACCGGAGGCTGCAGTCCAGTCTCCTCGATGCATGGAGTAGGTCTGTAGCTGAATGGTGGATTCTGGGACTCTGTCTGAAAGCCAGATCTCAGTAAAAATTGGAGCACAGCACTCTCTTATTTCCCACGGTGTTGTAATCATGGCTCTTAGCTCGTCCAGTTTGCTTTCCAGAGACCACACATGCCATGAAATTGTGCCCGCCTTCTATACTTGTCCTCTTAGATCTCAGTGCTGCTTTTGATACCACTGATCACAACATGTTATTGGGATTAAAGGAACTGCACTAAGTTGGTTCAAATCTTATCAGAAAGATTTCAGTTTGTTTATGTTAATGATGAATCTTCCACGCAGACTGAAGTTAGTCATGGTGTTCCACAGGGCTCTGTGTTAGGTTCAGTTCTCTTCACTGTGTACATGCCCCTCTTAGGCAATATTATCAGGAAACACAGCATAAATTTTTACTGCTACACAGATGATATATTGATCTATGAATGCAGATGAATCAGATCAGATGATCAAACTTCAAGCATTACTTAGAGACATAAAGGCCTGGATGACTTGGAATTTCTTACTTCTAAACGCTGACAAAACTAAAGTTATTGTATTTGGGCCTGAAAATTTTAGAAATCTGCTGTCTAACCATATAGTTATTCTAGATGACATAGCTCTAGCCTCCAGTACTGCTGTAAGGAAACTTGGACTCATTTTTTACCAGGATATGTCCTTTAAATCACACATAAACCAAGTCTCTGGAACTGCCTTCTTTCACCTGCGCAATGTCGCAAAATTCAGGAACATCCTGTCTCAAAGTGATACTGAAAAACTGGTCCATGCATTTGTTATTTCCAGGCTGGACTGCTGTAACTTTACTACCAGGTTGTCCCAATAATTTCCTAAAAAGCCTCCAGTTAATCCAAAATGCTGCAGCCAGAGTACTGACAGGAACTAACAAGAGAGATCATATTTCTCCCATATTAGCTTCTCTCCACTGGCTCCCTGTAAAATCCAGAATAGATTTTAAAATCCTTCTCCTAACATACAAAGCCCTTAATGACAAGGCTCCATCATATCTTAAAGACCTTGTAGAGCCTTATCATCCCAACAGAGCACTTCGGTCTCAGAGTGCAGGTTTACTGGTGGTTCCTAGAGTCCACAGAAGAAGAATGGGAGGCAGAGCCTTTAGCTATCAAGCTCCTCTCACTGTGGAACCAGCTCCCAGTCTCGGTTCGGGAGGCAGACACCCTCTTTACCTTTAACCTCTAGAGTCCTGAGCTTTGGAAACCCAAGCTGTGCGGTCCTCATATGAGGACGCAGGGACTCTAGAGGTTAAGATTAGACTTAAGACTTTCCTTTTTGATAAAGATTGCATAAGAGAGACTTGACATTCATTTAGTACATATGAATGGGTCATATGTAAACAAGGGTATAAGGCTGTGATGCAAACATCAGATATCTTTGGTTCATTATCCACAATCCACAACAGTTTATCAGCCTGCATAGGAATGCATGCCTTTTGTCATAACTCTGCAATATATACAACACTATGGATAGCTGTGATATACATTTCAGTTGCACCCACTTTTGGTTTCTCCTCTAAACTGGAATTTCATGTAATATTGATAAATTTGGGACCAATTTGATTGCCCAGTGTAAGCAATGTTGTAATAATAGATTGAAACAATGGACAAAATAAAAACAAGACATATTCTCTAGCTACAATTAACCAAAATTACCCATAGCAAATTAAAATAGAATAACAATTTGAAATCAGCTTTTACTGTTATGGATGAAATTGTGTGAAAATTATGCTCCTGTTGTCCTAACATTGTTAAGAACACTTCAGTGGCAGAACAGACATTATGCTTGTGTATGTCACTTGCTAACCAGGTTTTATTTTCCTTTATACTGTATATGATCTCATACATAGCCAACAAGAACACTGCAAAATGATATGAAAACAGGACTGTATATACAGAGAATGTCACTTGAGGTCTGGTGGTCCTCTATATTTTCAAGTGTCAACAAATGTCACGTGCATGTCAAAACCAACCAACCGATCCTTCTAAGTATTGTGTGTATATCCAAAGCCTGAAAGATCTTATTCTTCTGTGCGGCAGAGCTGCAATATTGTCCAAAAACTATTGAAAACACAAATAAGCCACACTGTTCCTTCATTATCATGACCACATATGGTACTTTATTCTGACTCAGTCCAACATAAATCATCCCGCTGCAGCAGTACTCATTACAAATGTACAGTTACTTCCAATTTAACATTTACAAAATAGTTGTTCTGACAGCTTTTAGTAAATTACTGAGCTTTGCTGTTGTTAAATTAAATTAACAACCCCAACCCCCCAGTTCTGTAGGGACCAGTCGGCTT